ATGATGAGGAGGAGGAGAGAGGAGGAGGAGGAGGAGGGAGGAAGGAGGAGGAGGGGAGAACGGCTGGGGAGGAGGAGGAGGAAGAAGAGGAGGAGAGGGAAGAGGAGGAGGAGAAGGAGGAGGAGGAGGAGGAAAAAGGAGAAGAGGAGGAAGAGGAGGAGGGTGAGAAGGATGAGGGTGAGGAGGAGGAGGAGGAGGAGAAGGAGGAGGAGGAGGAGGATGCGGAGGAGGGAGGAGGGAGTAGAATGAGGGGAGGAGGGCTCCAGGAGGGAGGGAGGGAGGGAGCACGGAGAAGGTTTTTTTTGATTGCGAGCGTGGTTAACCACTGAGGCTGACACGAAGGTGCGGCACTCAACTAGATGCAGACGCTGGCTGTGGCAACTGGGAACAATGCAAAATGCGTATATGCAGCACGGGTACCAAGGTTTGGTGAATCTCCCCTCCCCCGTCCTGACCTCACATACCCCCAGATCGGACGGAACTGCACGGGGCTGGCAAGACTAATGGCCAGCTCGACGTCGCTCTCATTCTGCACGGGAAGGGAAGGATAAGGGACAAGACCGAGGGGAGGTAAGGTAAGATCCGAAAGGGGAGAGCAAGACTGGGACGCATGTCCAAAACTTCCATCTCGGTAGGAGGGCAGACCGATGGGGGAGAGTCGCGCGTAGGCTGCCTGACCACTCCGACCCGACTAAGCTCCTGTAAGGCGTTGCCGCACAAGGAACGCACAACAACAGTTCGTCTTCCTCCCTTCTCTCATGAAACCCCCATCCCCCACAGTAGGTGGCGACGGACGGATCAAGACATACTCTGCTCGCGTGCCGTGCCCTACACGGGCATTGTGGAGGAGAGGCGGAGGGAGGGAAAATTATATGTGAGAGGGAGAAAGAGGGCTGGGACACAGACCGAAATCCTCCTGCTCTCGTGACACGGAATAGAGCTTGGGAGAAGGCTGGGACACAAACCGGAACTCTCCTGCTCTCGTGATGTCGTGACATCTCGACCTGAGCGGGGTAAGGAAAACTTCGCACCCTCGCGATACGGACGAACGACGACGGCGGAGGCAAGCGGAGGCGATTACCTTCGCGCTAACCAAGGAAGGGAGGGGATGCGACGCATGCTGCGGCAACTGCTGTTCCTCTCCTGCAACTCCCAATCCTGCGATCCACCCCTCAAGCTCCTCCATTACCAGCGTCAGAAAACGCCACAAAGCGCTGACATACAAAGACGTTCCACCGCGTGCCGAGCGGCTAACACTGCAGTCTGGTGCCAGCTACTATACGTTCAGCGATACAAGCATCGATGTCGTCTGTTGAAAGGGACAGCCTCGTGGCCGGCCGAGGAAGAGGAGGAGGTGCAGGAAGACATCCTGGACTCACCCACCTACGCACGTGCATCAGAAAGATCTCTTCGCTAACTCGGCTGTGTATGGGCTCGCGGCTAAGATCAGGAAGCACATGCGCTGGGACGCGCTGTACGCGAACTCATTTCCACTGCAAACTCATGCCCAATTCCACGACATATTTGCGAAACGGCGGCCTGCTAGAGGGCCGGAATGCCACCGAGGCCTCGCTCTGTAGCTGCTCGGCATGCACCTCTGCGGCAGGCGCGGCTCTCGCAGGCCTGCGGCCAGCAGGTGCCCTGCTGCTGGCGGCGGCAGTCGCCGCGACTGCGGCTCCGGCGGCAACCTCAGGCAGCTCCGGAGCAGCTCGACGAGCGGACTCGAGGCCCGCAGGCTGCCCCGCCACCTCCGCCGCGCGGGCCAAGGGGACGGCGTGCGCCACCGCGAACGCGTCGTGGAGCAGCTCGGAGGGCGCCTCGATGTTGTCGCTGTGGGGCAGCTCCGCGGTGAGCTCGCCTCCATCCGTAGGCTGCGAAACGCATCCCATGCCGACACTCCGAGAGCCGAGGACTCCGAGCCGAACGTCAGAAAGCGGCGGCGGCGGGGCGCGCGGGGCTCAGCCGGCGCCGCAGCGGGCGGAGCGACAGGCGGCGCGGGCACGCGGCCGACCAGGTGCCCGCAGGGGCCCAGATACGCCGCAAGAGCGCCAGCTAGCGGCGCTGGCAGTGGCGGTGCAACGGGTGGCGCTGCCAGCGGACCTCCAGCACCAGGCGGGGCCACAGCAGCCTGGTAGATCGGCGAGACCACGACGTCCGCGGTGGACTCGGAGTTGGGGCTGGCGTTGTCGACGACGTCGCTGTGCACGGGCTCGCGCTGCACGTGCGCCTCCAGCACCGGCGCTGGCTCGGCCTCTCGATGATCTTCTTGTCGACCAGCAAGCCAATTGGCAGCAGCGGCATCCGCAAGAGCCGAAACGTCGGCCATACGAGGCGGACGGTGTACACGTGCGGCATAGCCGAGCCTCCGCGCCGCGGCGCGGAGCTCCGGCCTCAGACGGCAGCTGCGACGGCGCCGTCCGGAACATCTCGTAGGCACGCGGCCGGCCCGCAGTTCGCCTGGCAGCCGCGCCAGGGGCGAGTCGAGGCAGCCGGCGCGCATGGCAGCCAGCCCCGCGCGAGGTCCTGGAGCCGTTCCAAATACCTCGGTCCGGGGCGGCAGCTACGGAGAAGGGAGGGAGGGAGGGAGGGAGGGAGGGACGGAAAGAGGGAGGGAGGGGAGGAGGAAGGGGGGAGGTGGCGGTGGGTGTGGCAAGGCCTCCGCGCGCGCCGCGTCCGCGCGGCGCCTCCGACGGCCTGCCCTCCAGGGCGCGGGCCGCCCGCCTGGCCGCCCGCCGCCGTGCAACCGCCAGGGCCCGGCCGCCCGTCGCACCTCCGGCGGCCGGGGTCCTCCGCAAAGGGGGGACGGCAGAAGGAGGAGGAGGAGGGGGAGGAGGAGGAGGACGACGAGGACGAGGAGGAGGAGGAGAGGAGAGGGGAGAGGAGGAGGAGGAGGAGGGAGGAGGGAGGTGGGGAGGAGGAGGAGGACGAGGAGGAGGAGAAGGAGGAGGAGGAGGACCAGTGCAAACCCAAGACGCATCGACGATGTTGGAACACTCCCTCCCTCCAAGCTCCCTCTTCATGGGCCCCATACAAGGGATCATTTCAACTGAGGGTATTGCCCCGTTGGGGGACAATCGTGTGAAAGTCCTGAGGCGTGTCAAAACACCATTGTCAGGACTTCAACTCCACGAGTCAACCAGGCTGCTGCGTCTTGACGGTCCTGACTCGTGCCAAAGCATCATACCTGGGACTTATTGAACACCGCGACACCGCGAATCAACGCAACTGCTGCGCCCTGAAATCGTTCCAAAACACATTCTCAGGTTTGTTAACCATGGAAACACATGCAACTCTTGGAATTGTTTGACACAGATGTGCGCGGCTCTAAGGCGAGAGCCGCATTTTGAAAGTCACCCGCCCTCAATCAGCGAAGCTCTTGCAGTTTTTTAAAACGAATTTGCGCGGCGTTTCGGCGAAAACCGCATTTTGAAAACCACCCGCCCTCAATCCATGAAGCTGTTGCACAATTTGACACCAATGTGAGTGGCGTTGAAGCGAGAGCCACAGTTTGAAAACCACCCGCTCTTCATATGTGAAGCTGTTGCCATGTGTTTAGCTTCAAACTCACAGATGGTGAGGACGTCTCAGGCGAAACGCCCGGCACACCCTTCCGACTTGCCTCGGGGTGCGACAGAGAGGAGTTCTTCATAAGGAAGAGGAGCGGAGGAGGAGAAGGAGGAGAAAGAGGAGGAGGAGGAGGAGGAGGACGAGGAGGAGGAAGAGCAGTGCAAACCCAAGACTCATCGACGATGTTGGAATGCACCCTACCTCCCTCCAAACTCCCTCTTCACGGGCTCCTACAAAAGTTATTTTCACTGAGGGAATTGCTCCGCTGGAGGGCAACTGTGTGAGAATTCCGTGACGTGCCAAAACACCATTGTCAGGACTTCCGCGCCACGAGTTAACCTGAGTGTTGCGCTTTGACGTTCTTGTTGAAGCTTGCCAGAACATCATTCCTGAGACTTCAACACCGCGAATACACGGAACTGTTGCGCCCTGACAATCCAGAATCGCTCCAAAACACCATTTCTGGTACGTTCACCATGAGAGCCAAACGCAGTGTAGCACATCTTTTGAACGAATGTGTGCGGCGCTACGGCAACAACCACAATTTGAAAGCCACCCGCCCTCGATCCGTGAAGCTCTCGCGACTGTTTGAAACGAATGTGCGGGGCGCTAGGGCGAGAGCCACACTTTGAAAACCACCCGCCCTCAATCCGCGAAGCGCTTGCATTTTTGTTAAAACGAATGCGCGCGACGTTTCGGCGAGAGCCGCACTTTGAAAACCGCCCGACCTCAGTCCGTGAAGCCCTTGCAATGTGTTGCACGAATGCACGCGGCGCTCAGGCGACAGCCGGATTCTGAAAACGATCCGTCCTCCATCTGTGAAGCTGTAGCTAATGTGTACACGTCGTTCATTTCTAATCGTGCTCATTTCTATGTGTGCTCGTTTCGAATTGTTCCTGGCCCCCTAGTGGCCAGGCAGAGGCCCAGGATAGAACAACTAGAAATGAAAGGATCTTGCCCCAAAAAATCAAGGAACGTTCGAATAATTAGATATGAACAATGTGTAAGCTTCAAGGGCACGAGCGGCGAGGAATTCTCCGGCGAAGCGCCCAGCCATCCCCTTCCGACTGGCCTCGGGGCCTCGGGGTGTGACGGGGAACAGCTACCTGGAAGGAGAAAAGGAATGGAGGAGAAGGAGGAGGAGGAGGAGGAGGAGGAGGAGGAGGAGGAGGAGGAGGAGGAGGAGAGAGAGGCGGAGTGAGGGGCAAGGGAGGATAGGAAGGAGGGCGAGCACGAGGAGGACGAGGAAGAAGAGGATGACGCGGCCGT